AGATATTCAGGCCTGATGAATATACAGTTGATGGAGATGAAGTAACCATCACAGCCACTGGAGAGACCTATCAAGAAATTGACTTTTACTCGCCCCAAACTGAATGGATTAATGGGACTTACCTTCCTGTTGGCGTCCTCACAGTCTGCAAACAACCCACTATAAACTGTTCTGGGGTCTTCATTGGATTGACAAAAGACGATTATTCTCTCTCGTCAGAAGGTTCTCTCTATCGAAACACATTCGAAGATTTCATCGAGCCCGGAATATTTCAGGTAATCGATGGGACGGCTTGGGTTTGCGTGAACTATTCTTCAAGTGTACCAAGACATTTTCTTACTGGAACGAAAAAAAATGTGGTTTTAGAGATACTTACATATGTTGGTGTCTCTCTCTCGAGTTTCGGCTTTTTGACAGTCTTAGTGACGTACTCACTTTTTAAACAACTTCGAACTTTTCCCGGAATCAATTTGATGAATCTCTCTCTGGCGTGTTTGTTTGCGAACCTACTTTACCTGTCATCAGCTGCAGCAAGCGGTGCACCGGAGCTCACATGTACAACAATCGCCATTTTAATGCATTACTTCTTCTTAGTGTCCTTCACCTGGACGTCTATCATCGCGTTTGAAACGTGGAGGACATTTTCCTCAATCGAAATCCAGCCTAGTCCTCTGACCAGGAGAGAAAGGTGCCAGCATCTTTCACGAAAAGTTGCAATGGGATGGTTTCCTGCTTTTGTTTTCGTAACGGTGTGTGTAGCTCTTCACCAGTCCCACGCGGTCATTTTTCGTTACGGTGCCACTTCGACCAACCTCTGCTGGATTAAAAACCCAACTGCGATTTTGTTTTGGTTCGTTCTGCCAACAGCTATCGCCATTTCATTCAACGCGGTATTCTTTGTCTTGACCGTGAACGCTATACGGAAAACAAACCATCAAGTGAGAAAGGCAACGTACTATGCAAAGAATCGCATAACGGCGGTAGTGTATGTTAAGATTTTCAGTTTAATGGGCTTCACATGGATTTTTGGCTTTTTGCAATCGGTTCACAGAAGCTTTGCATACCCATTTGTTACACTGACCTCCTTCACGGGACTTTATGTAGCGCTAGCGTTTGTGTTCACGCCAAAAGTGAAGAATTTGTATTGCGCCATGTTGCGGGCTAAAAAAAGAGTGACTTCTGTTACCCCAGATGTAAATAACGGTAATCTGAAAAATGTAAGGTCTAAAAGGTTATAAAAATTTAGATTTATGATCTTATAAAACATTGTAAAGATGGTAGAAATTATTAATTTATTGCCGTGCTTCACATATTGTAGTATCATATAATGAAAAGAAAATTCCTAGTTAAAAAATGTAAAAACTGTTACTTTTAATGAAATAAAGCAAACTGACTATATGTAACATGAGCTCTTTCTCGTCAGTTTGTTATTTCTGTTTAACTATTTTCTTCTATCTCGAGTAATTAAGGATACGAAAAGGTAAACAATAAGTGGACAGAGTGGCGGGTAATAGGAAGTACGGTCCCTGTGTCTAACTCTAGGCGGAACTCATAGGAAAAAATGACAAAATGATCTGCTTCGTTCAAGAAAAGACGAAAATTAAAATCTAACGATCAGACAAGCTCAACAACGACTTTAAAATTATAATTTTCAAGACACTGGTTGGTTCCAAAAGCTGATTTTCAACTCTGGTAAAACCTACTAAGTAATGACCCTCCCACGCCATTAGTCTAGATGCGTCACCCCAATTATTCTAGGGAATATCGGAGGACTTTTCGAAGATATACGATGGTAGTTTTCGTTTACTCTTCTCTTCCATATGAAGCGACATTAAAATTTCAACACAACGTGATCTGATCCTTATGGCTTTCTAATTGTTCGCTGATATTTTTTCAGCGCGCTGAAAATTGATATTCAAATATATGAATAAATCGATGAACAAAGTAGCCTTCGTTTGGCTGGGATGACCCTGTGTTTTTTTTATAATACTTGCTCATTTAAACCTGCAATGTCACCCTAGAGCAAATTTGCGGTTAAGAAAGATCATATTGCATGTTAAAACGGAATACTTATACGATTTCTTCAAGTTTTTGCAGATCTAATTAGAAGTCTCATGAAATATTCCCTTTGTTCTTGTTGGCTGTCAAGACTGCGATGTTTATTGTTTTACGACGCTCGATTAAATAGTGCTATAAGTTTTATTTGTTTTTAGCAATTGTTGACTTTTACCCTGCCAATATATTCGTACAAGGTCTAGAAGTACATAATGCTATTCCGCGAATCTTTTGTTGTAGAGCGTTTTCAAGGCTCGATATTTCAAGTATTTTTAGGTTTGCCTTTTGTTTTATTAAGTCTCGCCTTTTCGCCCCTACGTGCTATTTTGATGAATCTATAGTTTTGATCATTTATTTTTAGTGTGTGCTTGAACTTGGCTCAGCACTTACCGTGCTAGACATTTTAATCCCTTGTTATGGTTGAAGATAACTAGTTTGCTAGGTGGTCATGTTTGAGTTGGTAAAACTGACCTTGAGTTTTACCCACACTGAACATCCTGTTTTGGAAGTTCCCACGGTTAGCTAACCCAAACATGTCTGTGATTTTTGTATTTAATACTGGAGCACTCCTTGCTGAAAGTAGTAGAAATAAGCAGTGGAACAAGAGAGAGAATAAAGAAGAAAATTACAGAGTCTCAGTACCTCTTGTTAATTTGCCAAGCGAGTGGTAAAACCCCTCAACACTTTGTTAACTCCAAGTACGTACACACCATCCGAAAAATTCATCCTTATAAGGCCACTGTTTATATAAAATCGAGCACTTCGGATTGATAAACAGGATAGAAATTTCTGTCTGCTCTCAGCAGATCTTCTCACATCGATTTCATCGCCTTTGCATCTAAAGGAGAGCAGGTAATCTTGTTGCAAACATTTTGAAGATAAATTTGTCGCGGTCCCACAGCTAAAACGAATTTCCATTAAATAAATAGAAACATCATATTAAAGGAATATTTACAAGACTACGGCGGTGCAGATAAAATATGTAAACAATGAGTACGCATTCTGCTGTTTCAATTCCTGTTAACTATAGGAACTATTACGTCTTATTGAAGCCGTTATTTATATTGTCAAGCAAGAACTCATCTGTCTCCAAGTTGCATTGGCGAGAGGGACTCAATAACATGAAAGCATGGAAGCAGCAAAAATAGTCAAGATTTTAATTCTTTTTTCCTATTCCCTTTTTTTAAAATTTAATGCTTACCTCCAATTTTTGATTAAAATATGGAACATTTTTAAATTTCTGTCGGAAATTTGTTTTAAGACTGCCCTGCAGTACAATGTTTTTTCAAGGAAGTGAAAAGGAAAAAATGCACACATAAACGATCATATCTTCTGCCTAAATGAGGGCTGTTGTAGTTATTGAGTTTTACTCTAATATTTGAAAATTATGTAGTCGCTGGAAGGAAAAAAACACTCACACACAACTCAGGGCTAAAAGTATCGGTGCGTGACATATTGAATAGCTCATACTTGGAGGCTCGTCTCCCCCAGTCCTGGAAGCTCGCCAACGTCGCCCCTATTCCTAAGCGGACCCCTGTTTATGACGTTAACAAACACTTGAGACCAATTTCACATACACCTGTCCTTTCCAAGTTGACTGAGGACTTTGTGGTTGATCGTTATGTTAAACGAGCTGTACTCGCTAAGGTTGACCCTCGGCAATTTGGCACTGTTCCCGGTTCAAGCACCACCGAAGCTCTAATTAGCATGACGCATGCCTGGTACAGTGCTACTGACGGTAACGTGGCGTCTGTGAGGGTGATTCTGTTCGATTTTAAAAAAACCTTTGACCTAATCGACCACCAGATTTTGGACAAGAAGCTGAGTGCATATAACATCCCCAATGCTGTCATCTCATGGATTATCGACTTTCTCACCTCGCGCAAACAGCGTGTTAAACTCGGCCACGACTGCTTCTCAGAATGGGGCGCGGTACCAGCGGGGGTTCCTCAGGGTTCAAAACTGGGGCCGTGGCTGTTTATCATCATGATCAACGAGCTGGATGTTCCTGGCATCGATCTCTGGGAGTATGTTGACGATACCACTATTTCGGAGACGATAAGCAAGAACCAAGACAGTCACATTCAAGCTGCTGTTGACACCC